ATTAACTGGACTTTCTTGTAGGTGTGTAGATATTATATTTTTACTGACAGTGTTGTACTCCAGAATTAATCTTGAAATGCTCTTTTTTATGATGAATTCAATATTATTCCTCTTCTATTTGTCATTCCTTGGAATATTAGACCGTATATTTGTATGATTCAAAATGACTATACATGTCCATTCCCACTCACTCTGCTTAGGACGTTGATCTTTATGTGTTCCACTTCATATTTGTGACTTTAGATTTTCTACTTCCTACAATCCACGTTCCAATTCTTAAGGGATATTTGTATCTCTCTCTTTTTTTGAGCCATAGCACATCAGCAAACAATGTCCTTAAAGCTTTACTTATCCACGACACTCAAATCTACTCTACTTTGAGGGAATAGTCATATATTGAGCGCTTTCCAACATAAAGGGTTATCCTTTCAGAACTGTATCAGACAATGTTCTACTTTTTTCATAAAACTTTAATTGGCCAAATTTAAAAAGTAGATTGCCAAATCCTTCGTCATAATCTGGAAATTCTGTTGAAACCTGTTCATGGGTGAACCTATTGGTATTTGAAATACCAGTGATATAGTTTTCAGTATGACTGCAGAACTCGTCACCACAGAACGGCAAACTGATAAATGTGTTGTGGATACCAAGGTGTCACATATAGGCTTTGTGTCAACCTATCTGGATCCGGATTCTAAATGGTTTTGCAGTTAACACTTAGTAATCCTCCATGAACTGACTTAACACAATTTAATAACAACCAATCAGTTATACTTCTCCATAATGTGATAGGATTAGGGTCCAATGAAATACCCTTGCTCAGGGCACAGCCCTGAAGCAATTAATAGCTTCCAGGGTGTGACCTACTTGCAGTATAAGTGAATGCTGTGGTAAGGCTTGCTTAGTTTTTGCTGGGTCTGTATACTACATTTTATTCATTAATTTCTGGTTGTTTGAACTTGAGCCAATAGCCTGCCATATTTCCTGCAGATCTGGGGAGTCATCAGTGGCCTACAATTTGTCTCGCTGACCATGTATTCATTCACTTCTTCAGTCACAAGCATGACCTCCTACCCTTGAATTCATCCACCATTGCAGCCACCAGCCTGAGGTCTTCCTGCTGATCTTGGGTTCATCATCCCATAAAGATCTACAAGTCAGGAATCCTCAAACTTAATATCTGATCCACAGTCTTGCTACCTGCCTGGACTTGGACTAGCTGGCTTCTACAATGGTGAGCCATTTTCTTGAAATCTGTGTGTGTGTGTGTGTGTGTGTCTATCACTGGTTTAGCTTTTTTAGAGAACCAACCCTAAGACATAAGGATAAAAGGATAATTGATGGCGCAAGGTCTATGAGGAGGGCAGGATTCAAAGAACCAACATCGACATTCTTTTGTAATTTCTTTCTCTCATCTGTGATCTCATCTGCCCGTGAGTTGATTCTGACTCCTAGAGACACTATATGGGGTTTCAGAGGCTGTACATTTATGGCAACAGATAGACTTGTCTTTCTTCTGAAGAGTGGTTGCATGGTTTGAACTGATGACTTTACATGTAGCAGTCCCAAGCTTACCCAACAATACTACCAGGGCTCCTTCACGAGTCTGTAGATTCTGTCAACTTGTTTCATTAAAAGTGATTTAATCTGCCTCTCTACTCAATCCTTATCCTCATTGCTTCAATTAAAAGACTCCTCGTTTCTCTTTTCTAGCTGGTCTCTAACCTTGTCTCTTTCTATTCCACTCACCACAAATCAATCTGACCATGATTATTTAAAACCATTTAGGGGATCACCATAACCAATATTTAATCTAAGCTTTTAAAATGACCTGAAGACACCCCATTCCCAAGTCTTTGATGATCTCTTCTTCCTCGCCTATCCTAGTCCCTTCCTCCCATTTATACTCCCATAGTATTTAAAGAATAATTCTGGAGAAGAATATTCAAAGTATCGTGGACAGCTAAAAGGACAAACAAATGTGCCTTGCAAGAAGTATGACCAGAGTGTTCCTTAGAGGTAAGGATGGCATTTTATATACTCTGAACATGTTGTCAGGGGAGACCAGTCCCTGGAGAAGGACATCAAATTTAGTAAGGTAAAGAGTCACCAAAAAGGAGGAAGGCCCTCAAGATGATGGATTGACACAATGGCTGCAACAATGAACTGAAGCATAGGGAAAATTGTGAAGATGGTGCCGGACTGGGCAATGTGTCATTCTGTTGTGAATAAGGACATTATGGGTCAGAACCAACTCGATGACACCTAATAGTGTCAATAACAGCAACAGTATTTGAAATTTCTTGTATAGGCATGCTCTTTTTCATGTTTTTGGCTCCATTCCCTATCTCAAAAACTATGCTTCATTCCGTTCCCTTCATAAAGATTACCACTCATCCTTTATTACTTGGTTTAGGCATCATTTTTTCCCCTCACTATTCTCTCTAGGCTTGTTGACCTATTCTTTAATTTCCTAAATTTATATGCATCTTCATCATTACATTGGTCATACTTTATAATCCTTGTTTTGTCTGTCTCATTTTACCAGTCTGAGCTCCAAGGAACATCACTGCTTTGTTTTTATACCTTACTTATTTTGTGTGCGTTGATTGCCTTTTCCAGGAAAGACCTAGAGTTCCTTGGTAGAGCAAGCAGCCACGCTTGTTGATGGTCAGCAAAAGAATGACAGTTCAAACCCATCCAAAAGCATCTTGGAAGAAAGACTGGTGGTCTGATTTGGGTGGGGAGGGTGCAAAAGGGAGCTGATGTCAAAAAGTACGAGGAGGAAAATAATATTTTGAAACTGATTGTGGCAACAACTGCACAATACTGCTTGATGTGGTTGAACTATGGAATGATACGATATCTGTATTCACTCCCAATAAAATGGTGTTTGGGGAAAAAAAAAGATCACAGCTACGAAATCCCTATGGAGTAGTTCTACTCTGCAGCACATGGTGTCATCATGAGTAGGAATAGACTGGATAAAGACTGCTTTTGGTTTGTTTAAAGGTAGGAGAGACAAAGGGCGAAAAAGAAAGAGAAAAGAGGAGAGAGCGAGGAACCCAGATTTTGGCATCATTCCAATGCACCACTCACTTTACAAAATCATTTAGAAATTCTTACTTTATTTTAACGAAGCCATATGTAAACTGAGCAAATAAATTGATTTGTATGTTGATGTTAGTTCAACTGTTTCGATTTCCCCTATGAGTAAACGTTATTCACTATTCTCTATATTTGAAACCAATTTTCTAGGTATTTCTCTGAGAAATTCATAAAGATGTCATAAATCATCAAGCAAATATTATACTCAATTATGGAGATAGCAAGTATTTTGTATTCCTGCTGAGTTCACAAAGTTCGATATCGAAAATGAATGTATTGGGTTCTGAGAGAGAGATGGGAAAGTAAATTAGAGGTAGAGAGAGAAGAATTGATGAAAAAGAAATAAAAGTATAATTTAGATCATAGGTAGATCATAGCAAAGTACTCTGAACATAATTTTAAGGTGATTACTAATTGTATTTTTTAATGCAGGGAATTTTAATAGTTGAATTTCATCTGCATAGCTCCTGGTCTGTAAGGCATAGTTGGCTCTTCAGAACCTGGGTATCCAATTTGTTGTCTCTCACGTTGGATATAGCTTGGTTTTGGAGCTCCTTGTGTTGAAGAATTCTGCAAAAAAGTTTAAAATATCAAACATAATTGAATAACATTTAATAAAATTTCTATTCTCATTTACAAATACTTATGAATTGGAAATTGGTTATGATTATTCATTTTAGAGTTGTTTTATTACCATTGAAACTTGTAATGATTTATTTTTTAAAAATCATTTTTGGGGGGTTTGTACAACTCTTATCACAATCCATACATCCATCCATGAGGTAGTTAGTTTATTGTGCCAACCTGGTCGATAAACACATGTGGGGTTAATTG